TAGCGCCTGGGGCAGGGTGAGAGGGTCTTTTCTCTCTGGGGAACCAGGACTGACATTTGAACATCTGGGCAGGATAAAGAAGAGAAAGAAAGGGTGGGCTCTCTTGTTACCCAAAGCCACCAAGCCTGCAGTGTCCTCAGAAACCTCAGTCTGAAAGGGGTGAACGTGAGTGTGTGGGAGAAGAGGCCATAGGCATTAATAATACACCGCGTCCTTTCCCACTTGGCCACTCCTCTGCTGGGCCTGCCGGTGCTCAGCCCCTTCGGAAAGAGGGTGGGGGCTCCTACCAATTTGGCAGCTGAATTTTCATCTTGGTGAAGACAGACAGCATTACCACCTCCCAGATCCCTTCCCAGAAACCCGAGCACCTTTCTCAGCAGTCATGGGGGACCTCGAGGGAGCATGAACCTCTGCTGTTCAGCCAACCCTTCAGAGATAGCATGGCTGGACTCCTCCATGGGAAGAGAGGGCTCAGGGACACTGCTATGAAATGTCACCTCCCTGAAGGGAAGGGAGCTGGCCTGCAGGTTAGTTTGTCAGTCCCCTTCCCTGCTCTGGGATGGTGGGGAACCGCAAGGGAGAGGCGGGTGGGGATGGGGGGTCCACTGTGTCTCCAACCAAGCTGAATAAATTCTTCTTGAATCAATGAATGAAAACATGGCAACCTCTCGCAGGCCTGACTTGCTGTACATCCGTTCTTACCTTCGGAGGTCAACACAAAGGGCATTACCACCAGAGGTTGATTGCCCAATTGATCCTTTGAGGAGAATGGTCACAAACTCAGTACTACATACAAATCTTCCGGGGAATGTTTTTAAAACATTTTTTAATGCTACACATCGAGAGCAGAGGGCATCCAGTTCTGTCAGGCACAGTCCTGGGAATTTTACTTCTTGCTCCCTCTCTGGCTGATTCTTGGGGATGGGATGGTTCCCTCTGGTTCACAGGGAAGAGGAAGGCATTGGGGTGCAGTGCCCCTCATACACGTGACTGTAGGTCGGTCTCATCATATTCCAAGTGTCTGTGGCCTTTCAACTCTACGTCTTCAAGCCTCTAGCCTGTGGCTTCGCAGGAAGAAGTCTGGAAGCTCCTTTCCTTCCTTCTTGTTGGGGCAGTGTCTGTCATTCTGGATGGTCCCCACTCCCATGTCATCAGTTTAGTCCTTCCTACCCTCAGCTGTCTCTGATGCTTCTCATCTGGAAAAGTCTTTGCCTGACTTCCAGAAAGATGACATTTTCCTTCTCCCTTTTACTGCCTCCATTTCCTCATTATTTGTTCTTCAGTAACCCAGTGCAAGCTGGCTTCACTGCTCTAGCCCTTTCTTAGTGTCCTGTGTCCAGCCTCTCTTCCCCAGGACTGCTCTGGCATGTTTCACTTTGTGGATCATCAACTATTTCTGGAAATGTCCCTCTCTGGCTTCTGTTTGTTTGTTTGAGGGATTTTTGCTATAGGGTACACGCACTCACCAGAGAGAGAGAGAGAAAGAAAGCGAGAAATCACCCCCGGAGGGATGGCCACACCGCAATCCCTTTTCCATTCTCCTCAGATTTTTGGGTATGCGCGTACACACACATGCGCACACACATACACGTGTGTGTGCGTGCATTTTAAGCTACCTTATCCAGGACTCGAACTGCGGTCGACTGTGTGGGAGTCCTTGGACATAACCATCACACCATCTGCTGGTCTCTGGCTTTTGTAGCATTCTCTTATTCTACATCTTTGCACTGTTCATAGTCATTGCTTGCTATGTCTTTTCTCCTGTGGCTTCTTCACTGATGAACCTTTTTCAAAACTCAGACTGCAGGGAACCAGCAGTTAGCGTAATGGCTATGTCGCTGGGCTCCCACGTAGTCGACCGCGGTTCGTGTCCCGGACCCGGTGGCTTAAAACTCACGCCGGGCACGTGTGCGTGCGTGCCCAAGATCCCGAGAGGAGAATGGAGGAGAAGGGATTGCGGCGTGACCATCCCCCCTGGGGGGTGATTTCTCGCTTTCTGTCTGTCTCTATGTCTCTCTCTGTCTGTCTGGCGAGCGCACGTGCCCTACAGTGAAAATCTCTCAAAAAAAAAAAAAAAAAAAAAAACTCAGACTGCAGCTTTCTGTCCCTCTGCTCAGGTTTCACCCATTCCAGGAGTTCCAACTCATGTCCAGCCAATGACTCCACCCTCCACCTCAGGTTCTGACTCCCAGTCCCCACTGCTCAGCTCTTCTGACCAGCTCCACCTGCTTTCCTTCCAAAAGGCTAGAGGACATGCTTCCCCAAAAGTTCCTCATTTGCTGTCTTACCAGGCCAACTGCATCAGGCCCCTGGCTACCTCGTCCTATTAAGCTTCCATTTGAGAGGTGTCAGGCACAGCCCTCTCCATTGCTAAAACCCTAATAGAAGCTGTCATCACCACCCTCTGGATTCACTTGTCTGTTCATCTAGAAAATTTTGATTGAACATACACTGTTTGCCTGGTACCGGAGTGATGGGTATGAATACAACAGGAAAAAAATCCCAGGAAACTGAGAAGCTAACATTCCAGTGGGAGAAGTAGATAGAAAAATACACAGTTATATGTCTATATCACTTACCAGTGGGGATATACCCTGGGAAGCACAACGTTAGGTTAGCAATGTTGTGATTGTGTGAACATCACAGAGTATACTTAGCCAAACCTGGACTCACATAGCCTACTACACACCCAGATTATAGGTGTAGCCTACACGCCACTTACAGAACCACTGTCGAACATGCAGTCTGTGGCCGAATGAAATGTTGTTGTGGGTCCCCTGACTGTGGGTTAAATAATAAATATTAAAAAGATCAACAGGGAAGTGAAAGGGTAGGAAGGAGGGTTGTATACCTAGAGATTCTAGAAGCCTTAGGCAGTGAAGAACTGAAAGGAGAGAACTACTTAGGTATCTGAGCATTTCAAGTTGGGGACACGAAGAGAAGATGTCATGGTGAGTCTGTGGAACGGTGAAGGGTCCAGTGTGGCTGGAGAGACTGCGCAGCCCCGCACAGCATCATAAGGACTTTAACTTCTATTCTGATTGAAAAGAGAAACTGTCAAAGGATGTAAGCAGGAAAAAAAAAAAAGAAACTGCCTGAGTTTTCAGCTTTATTTTTAACCATGTTCTTGAGGTATGATGACTATACTATAAACTGCAGCTATTTGAAATGTACAATTTGAAAAGTTTTGACATATGTATACATCTATGAAACCATCACTTTAATCACCTCAAAAACTTTTTCGTGGGAACCAGCAGTTGGCGTAATGGCTATGTCGCTGGATGCCCACGTAGTTGACCGCGGTTCGTGTCCCGGACCCGATGGCTTAAAACTCACGCCAGGCACGTGTGCGTGTGTGCCCAAGATCCCGAGAGGAGAAGGGATTGTGGTGTGACCATCCCCTCTGGGGGGTGATTTCTCGCTTTCTGTCTCTATGTCTCTGTCTGTCTGGCGAGTGCACGCACCCTATAGCGAAAACCTCTCCAAAAAAAAAAAGAAAACTTTTTCGTGCCCCTTTGGATTCATGTTTTATCAGAATCACTGAGCTGCTATGTTAAGAACATGCTAAAGACTGTGATTCAAATCCCAGACCCAATAGCTGGAAATCACATTGGGCGTGTGCGTGTGTGCCCAAAATCCTGAGAGGAGAATGGAGGAGAAGGGAGTGTGGTATGGCCATCCCTCCTGGGAGGTGATTTCTCACTTTCCCTCCCTCTGTCTGTCTCTGTCTCTCCAGGGAGCACACATGCCCTATGGCAAAAAATCTTTAAAAAAATAAAAAAGAAAAGGAAAAAGAACAGTCTATAGGGGGCAAAGGTGGATGCAAAGAGTCAAGAAGTTACAGTAATCAAGCAGAGATAGGATGTTGGTTTGGCCCAGGGAGATAAGTAGTGGCTATAGTGAGTAGTTGATTAATAAATCATTAATCTCATGACTTCCAGCTCCTATCCACTCTAATTCACTTGGAAGGGAAATGAACAAAAATGTTCTTTTTATGCTGCAGCACCCTCCCTTCAAAAACAAAAAAGTCAACTAGGTCCCTAATGCACAACTCCTTAAGGCCCTGCTTCAGCTATTACCTCTCCTTCCTGTCCTTTGCTCATTCCCCTCCACTCTGCCTATTTCCACATTTCTACTCCCTCCCCCATGTCTAAACTGTGCCAACACAAGTCTTTCCGGATCTCCATTGGGAGTCTCCAAGTACGCTTGGGTTAATACTTTCCAGTAAAGTCACTTTTTCTTAATCCCACTGTAAGGACTCTGCGATGGTGGTGTACCAGCCCTTGGGCCCGCTGCGTCCTTCCCCGATGCGGGGTCCTTCCCACATGCGGGGCTGGGCCTATGCTACTGCAGGCGCTCGCTGCCCAAGCGTGTCTGTGTGCGGCAGTGTCCTAGTCGTCCTCCCCTCCTCCTTCGGCATCTGCTCTGCATTAGTCTGTCCCAGGCCTCCGCAGGCGCCGATGATTAAATCATCATCATTAACCAGGGCCTGCACCCCCCTCCATCCCCGGCAGCAGGGGTAGAATGGGTGGGTAAGACCACTACCAAGTCCCTGGGGATCCCTCTCTCTCCACCTCATTCCCCTGCCCGCACCCTCTCCGAGACTCCGCAAAACCCCGAGGAAACTCCCGCAGCAGAACTGGGAGAAGGCCCGGCCATCTGGGTGAAGCTCCGCATCGCGGACCCGTCAGCCGACCCGGGCGGCCTTACGAGGGCAGGACCCAGGAGGGGCTTCTTCAGCGGGGTCCTCGTCATAGGAGACCGACGACCCTGAGCAGCGGCGGGCGGAGACCGCCGGGCCTTTTGGGGTAGGAGGGGGCAGTCCTTCACAGGCTCCAAAAGTTAGTCCCGACGTCAGGGAGGGTTTGTTACGGTAATTCCTACCCGAAACCGCAGAGATAGGACCCTTCCCCACGCCCCCCGACTCTCTAATTACGGATTGGGGAGGGGGAGGGGCCAGGGGGCTCAGGTGAGCACACGGGGAGAAAGGGACATGGGCGGGGCTGGACAGAATGTGAGCGAATCCGAAAAGACCTAGACCCTCGTTGCTGGGAGACAAGTCCCGCCCCGCAGGCGGCACCGGAAGTGGCAGGCCGGGATCAGCCTTTAAGATGGCGTCTCCTCAGGGGGGCCAGATTGCGATCGCGATGAGGCTTCGGAACCAGCTCCAGTCAGTGTACAAGATGGACCCGCTACGGAACGAGGTGCAGGGGCGGCAGGGTTACTGCTGTGGTCGGTTAGCGGTGCGAACTGGAGCGGGCTAGAGGACGGGCGGTGGCTGGCCGGGCGCCCAGTGCGCCTGCGCAGAATCAGTGTGCCCAGCCCGCCTGCGCGATTGTGATCCGGTTGCCAA